CATTCTTCCATCATAGCTAAATTGCGTGTTGATATCTATGTCAATCCATTTACGGTGAACCAACTGGGTCGTGTTTACTGGTCATCGTTATACTGAACCTGGCTCTCCTCCAAGCCTGACTCATACAAAAAAAAAAAAAAAATCAACTACCAACAATTCCTAATAATTTCTTTTCTACAATTTTGCATATCAGATGAATTCAGCAAATATTTTAATATAAAACAGTCAGTAAACGTAAAATGGTGGACAAATAAGTGTAGTCAACTCTAACAGCCACAGTTTTCTGCGTTAACAGACATCATTGAATCAAAATATCTTTATACTTTGGATAAAAGACTTCCATCTCTGTGTCCATGTCTTTATCCAATATCAGGATAATAGTGATGGATTGGACGGAGTTAATGTATATACTACATCTTGGTCTGTACTCAGTTCTGTGGTTTTATTTGGCTACTCCCAACACAAATGGCTGACCAAAATCGCGTTGAAATTCCACTTGAGGCTTTACTGTAAATGACAACGTGCGCTGCCCAGCCAGCTCTAATCACAGTGATTATGTCCTGGACTTTAAGGTCCGCCTCCTCTCTCTCCCCTCTCTCTCTCTCTCCCCCTTCTCTCTCTCTCTTCTCCATTTTTCCTCTCCTGCTCCTCCTTCTTGACTTTGCCTTTCAGGAGGAATCCCTGAGAGAAGGAAGTGGAGGGAGGGGGTGGAGAAAAGATGAGCTATTTCCGCTGCACCTGGTGGTGGCGGAACATCTCACTAAGCATTACGTTGTTAGGGTTTTAGCGTTGCTTCTCGGTGGCCGAGTAACCGAGGTGATCATCTGGAAGTTATGCTTTAATATAACTCGGCATGATACACTCCGAGTTGTACATTTCCTTAATGGTGTGGCTGCACTTACTACACCTTCACTCTATCTCGTTAACGACTCATGTTCCTGGCACTAATAACTGTATATATTGTGCTACAGTAAAACCTCTATTTAACGGAATATATGGAGAAGAGACGTCTGTTATATCGAGGGTCCGTTAAATGTGAAACCTCCATCTAATGAACTGTATAGATATGAAAGTCCGTTATATCGAGGATCCGTTATATATGAAACCCCTATCTAACGATTTATATGGAGAGATATATCCGTTATATGAAGGTTCCACTGTATAGGGAAAGTCAGGTGTAGTGTTTTCAGGGTTTAAACATCATCATCCAGAATGTAGCAGATGTTACAGGAAATCAGGAAATTGCGCGAACACGACCATGTACCCCGGGGCGGCATTTTAGATTTAATCACGGGATTTAAGCAGAAATTATTGTCAGCGTGATGAGCTGGTTGGGGAGTGTGAGATGCAATTTCTGTGCTGAATGAGATTTTTTTTTGGTCAGTCGTGATATGTTTACATGGTGAGGATGTTGACTTCCGAGTTTCTGACCCAAATCCCTAAACCATTTCAGATTACATCGTTGACAGTTAGTCATGGTTGCTCTTCACCGTTGTATTAAGGTTAAACAAAAGGTGAACATTGCTTGTATAATATTACCCCAAGAAGGTCCTCCCCCACCAGGAAAGTTTGTCTAGCTTCTCACAAGTGTTCAAAGGAAAAGTGATCGTTCAAAGTCAAACTCTTGGCACTGAGGAGAATTATTGTTCAACTTCCCAAGCGTTGTGAATGATTGTCTTCAAACTTTGAGAATAACTGAGGTGCTCCGAGATGATTTTCGTGTTTGAGATAAAATATAAGATATTATCATACGGCCAGTTTGATACTTTTGAATGTTCTGCATTACTGGCCTGAAATATTGCATTCAAAGATTCAAAATACTGAATTACTGGCAAGGCAAATATATCTGTAAAAACTGCTAAAGAAGGTCAAACTTTGGTTGACCTCTAAAAGGTTTTCTTGGAGGCCAAACGAACCTTCAAAAGACCGAACCTGGCAACCATGACCGAGAGCACCACCAGCACCAAGTAAACAGACGTCAGCTGGTCACACCACGTGACTTGATATCTGAAAAATATGTAAACAAACGCATTTCCTCGATTTATTGCAGTACCCATGTTTCTTTCTACAAGATAAAAACATAATATGAACGTGTTTGTGTTGTTTTATGGATTTTGCACACACACACACACACACTCACACACGCACACACACATCATGCTGCAGCGACAACATATGGCTCACGAAAGTAACCGAAACTGGGCTAAATATACATTCGTGCAAAATACAAGAAAGTGTGAGGTAAAATATGGTTGGGAAATAAACTGTGTCTTATACTTTCCAGACACTCGGGATGTGTAAAGTAGACGTGTAAAAAGAGAGTTAGAAAGGAGATAAGGGAAGCTGTGAGGCTGGTCACGGGAGATCACAGCCACCACAGACTACCACGACAGGAAACTTTCTCAGCGCTGTAATTTCTCTCTCATGTTCTGGCAGCTGTGCCCCCCCCCCCAGTACCCCGTGGTAATCCTCTCCAGCTCTCTCTCTCTCTCTCTCTCTTATATAGTTTACCGTGTGTAGGTATGTTTATTTGTCGTCCTGTTTTTGTTTTGTGGCTTCCTGAATAAATCTTGTTTCTGTTTCTTCATTTCATCTTATTCCATCTTCTCTGTGTGTTCACCTCTCACCCTTTCCGTCTTTCTTTCCCTCTCTTAACTTTTTTCACTATTTCACTTTCTCTTTATCTCTTTCCCTTTCAGCTCGAAGGCTTTTCACCTGTGCATTTCTATCGCGGAGCCGTAAGTGTGGTGGGGTGGTCGACAGGTGCAAACAGTAAAAACACACACACACACACACACACACACACACACACACACACACACACACACACACACACACAAACAAACAAACACCACACACACACACACACACACAAACACAAACACACACAAACACACACACACACACACACCCACACACACACACACACCTGCTGCAGAGGACGAGAAACTCCTTCACTTTTGTCGCTTGTTTCTTGTTAGTCTTCCCTGTCTGCAGTCACAAGATACTAAAAGACTCTTAAATATACCTAAACATAAGCCACCAGGCAGACAGGACCTACAGGCACTCACACAAGGTGCCTTCACAACATTCTCTGACACAGGTTATTCCAACAGATCACAACTCCTACTCTAAAGTTGTGAGTCTTAGGTGTCAGTAGAGTCTCAGTTCAGCTCTGGCTCCATTATAGCTCATTAAAAGGAGAGTCTTAAGTGGTGATTGAAGCCATCAGGAACCATTCATTTATAGTTGTTTATTTTACGGCGGGTTTAGTGAGTCTTTAATCCCTTGTAAACGCCTTCAGTAACCATAGTCTCAATGTTTTGTTTATGTCTTCTTGCTAATGGTGTTCAATTCCCAGCATATAGAGACGTTCGTTAATCAGTTAGTGGCGTTCTTTTATCACAGCTACAGGCGTTCTCTTATGAGCAGTCAGGGAAGAACTGAACGTACGAACCTTTGAGAGTCAAGAACTGTTAGGCGAGGTTTTTGTCTTTCGTTGACTTGACAAATCTCTCTCCATAATAGCTTCTAACTTTCTCTGTCTCCCTCTTTCTCTTTTTGGCTTTGTCTCTGTCTATTACTCTTTATCTTTTTCTTTCTCCCTTTTTCCCTCCGTCTGTGTGTCGCCCCAGTGAGAGAAGATATATACATTCCCTCATATGTATCTTCAGCAATATGACCGAAAACAATTCCTCTTGACCATTCAGTCCGAAAAGACTCGCAATTAGTAACCCAAAAAAATCGAAAATCAGCTTTTGTCAGTTTAGGTTAGGTTAGGTTAGGTTATATGAAATGTGTGTAGTATGACTGCTTAATTATTGCTTTGTATTCTTCATTACTCATCACCAGGAATGACACTTCACATATTGGTGGTGGCACAAGCGAGGGTAGTGTCGTCAACGCCCCCCACCATCTTCTCACACTTGCCTCAATAGTGTTTCCTGGTGGGGATGGAGGACCCAGGCTGCACCACATTTAATATACACTCGTGAGAACTTGTGGACGCGCACTAAGAGCCCTTGTTGTCTCTCTCAGCTGCCACAAGTCATCACTTCAGCAGGCACAGCTCCCCCCCTCCCTCCGTCCCTCCCCCTCCTTCCTTCTCTCCCTGGGTGACGATATACAACACAACCACAACAACTGAATAACAAGTTCACTGGAACACAGAAAACTACAACACCACACACACACACGTAAACAATGTTACCTGTAATACATATCTTTCAGGATCGTAATAGTTGATGAGATGTGTTAAAATAAACGTCAGATAAAAGCATCCTGGCGACCACAAGCTGTAGTCATAGCTGAGAAATGAAGATGAAAGAGTGACATTTACGCGCGAACTTGGACCTGACCTAACCTAACCTAACCTAACCTAACCTAACCTAACCTAACCTAACCTAACCTTACCTAACCTAACCTTACCTAACCTAACTTCATACTCTTCTTCACTCACTGGGTCGTCGGATGGTCAGTCGCCTCTGTGGTACGCGCTGTCGACAAGTACTGTACTAGTTATGTCCGGATTACTGAGTGAACCTGAACATGAGGCCCAGTGTTTGCAAACTATGAACTCAGAGGTGTTCAACCCATGTGCTCTCCCTGGCGGATTGTGACAGTGTCGTGAAATGTTGTTTGAGGCTTTGATAGATAGATAGATAGATAGATAGATAGATAGATAGATAGATAGATAGATTTAGACAATGCAGGTATACAATCGTAGCAATAGTGGCAGTGGTGGTGGTGATAGTGACAGTAGCGGTGGTAGTAGTGGTGGTGATACTCACAATAGTGGTGGTGATAGTGACAATAGTGGTGGTGATAGTGACAGTAGTGGTGGTGATAGCGACAGTAGCGGTGGAAGTAGTGGTGGTGATAGTGACTGGTGGGAGTAGTGGTGGAGATAGTGACAGTAGTGGTGGAGCAGCCCCTAGAGAGCACCACCCCCCTCCCCCAGGTATATATACGTGGTGCTTTCCCCTACTCCTCCAGTTGAGTGTCGTCTTGTCTGTCGCCTGGATGCATCACTCCGGCAGCATGAGACAGGTGAGTGTGATGGCTCCCTCCCGCCCCTCGTGTCAACCAGCCTCCCACCCCTCGTGTCAACCATCCTCCCGCCCCTCGTGTCAACCATCCTCCCGCCCCTCGTGTCAACCATCCTCCCGCCCCTCGTGTCAACCAATCCTCCGCCCCTCGTGTCAGCCATCCTCCCGCCCTCGTGTCCAACCATCGGCCAACCATCCCGCCCTCGTGTCAACCATCCTCCCGCCCTAGGCCAGCCATCCTCCACCCGTGTCATCAGCCATCCTCCCATCCTCTCCGCCCCTCTTCGCCCCTCATGTCAACCATCCTCCCCCTCGTGTCAGCCATCCTCCGCCCCTCGTGTCAACCACCTCCTCCTCGTGTCAACCATCCTCCCGCCCCTCGTGCAACCCTCCGCCCCTCGTCAACCATCTCCCATTGTCATCCTCCATCTCTCCCATCCTCCCGCCCCTCGTGTCAACCATCCTCCCACCTCTGTGTCATCCTCCATCCCCATCCTCCCATCCTCGTGTCAACCATCCTCCACCCCTCGTGTCGCCATCCTCCGCCCCTCGTGTCAACCATCCTCTCGCCTCGTGTCAACCATCCTCCCACCCCTCGTGTCGTGTCAACCATCCTCCCACCCCTCGTCAACCATCCTCCCACCCCCTCAGGTCCCGCCCCTCGTGTCCTCCTCTCGCCCCTCGTGTCAACCTCCTCCCACGCCCCTCGTGTCCAACCACCTCTCGTGTCAACCATCCTCCCGCCCTCGTGTCAACCATCCTCCCCCTCTCGTGTCAACCACCGCCTCGTGTCAACCATCCCCGCCCTCGCCATCCTCCCCCGTGTCAAGCATCCTCCCACCCCTCTCAACCATCTCCGCCCCTCGTGTCGCCATCCGCCCCTCGTGTCCATCCTCCGCCCCTCGTGTCAACCATCCTCCCGCCCCGTGGCCAACCACCTCTCGTGTCAACCATCCTCCCGCCCCTCGTGTCAACCATCTCCGCCACCTCGTGTCAACCATCCTCCCGCCCTCGTGCTCCCCCTCTCAGTCCGTCCAGCCATCCTCCCATCCAACCCCTCGTGTCAACCATCCTCCCCCTCGTGGCAAGCTTCCGCCCTCCCACCATCCGCCCTCCTCCCACCTCTCGTGTCAACCATCCTCCCGCCCCTCGTGTCAACCATCCTCCCGCCCCTCGTGTCAACCATCCTCCCACCTCTCGTGTCAACCATGAATAAGAAAGATGAAATTATTGATGTACTTTTGCTAGGTGAAGTGGGCGTGGTTAGGTGAGGTGGGCGTGTTTATGAGGAGGTGGGCGTGGTTATGAGGAGGTGGGCGTGGTTATGGGGAGGTGGGCGTGGTTATGAGAGGTGGGCTGTAGGTTGTAAATCTCTGGGGAAAAATTTTAGAGGAATGATGTTGATGATGATGACAATGAGATCCAAGTGAGCATACAGGGAGGAAGGCATTATTGGGCATAGTGACCTGACCTGTGACAGAGGCTGGGGTGAGTGGGGTTAAAGACCTGACTTTCATCTGCACACTGGTTTTGGGTACAGAGGAGGAGAAGAGAAAGTGTAAAGATGGAACATTTGATATGAAGGGAGAGAGAGAGAGAGAGAGAGAGAGAGAGAGAGAGAGAGAGAGAGAGAGAGAGAGAGAGAGAGAGAGAGAGAGAGAGAGAGAGAGAGTTAACATGACTCTAAAAACATGGCCATGACTTTTGAAGATGGCCATGACTCCAGGAAGATGGCCATCACTTCGTGAGGATGGTCACGACTTGAGGCAGGTGGCCCAGGGTAGAGAAAAATGGCCATGAACTGAAGCAGATGACCCTCGCTAGAGGCAGGTGGCCATGACTTGAAACAGATGGCCCTGGCTAGAGGCAGGTGGCCATGACTTCATGAAAGTGACCAAATACAATGTGCGTTGGAGCATATGTTTGATCCTTCAACTAGTTCCTGTCACCCATCAGTCACAGCAGCTGGCGGGAGACAACCAACTGTTCCTCGCTATGCACTTCAGGGCCTTGGACTTGAGTGTAAGTGTGTCAGTGTAGAGTGTATAAGTGTATGTAGAGGAAATAAAAACACATGTAGTGAAGTTGTCTGCAGTTAGGATTGTCTTCCCTGTAACAGAAGAAACATCCTTATCCTCTGTACAGCGACAGCTTTTGATTTTAACATAAACAAGACATTAATCGAGCAACTCCTGTGTTCATGTCGAAATATTAAGTCCATATACTCTTCTTTCGGGTGCGTGTTGTCGTCACGAAGGGAGGGAGGGCTAAAGACATTGGGTAGGTGTGTAAAGTGAGCGTGGGTCCACTTATAAAAGTTAAACACGGTGGAAGTTAAGCGGGGCGGGGCGGGGCGGGGCAGGGCAGGGGAGGGCAGGTACACGAGTTAAGAAGTTAGCCTGATGAAGTCGACAGCGAGCACAACATGTTCCTCCAGACCTAGACAGTCCGACCTGCATGTAAAGTCACAAACCCACGTGCACACTCACAGACAAACATACAGAAGCAATTAAGTACAACCTCAGACGTACACAGGAACGGATGTGCACACTAATATACCACACACATAAAGAGTCACGTTGGGAGACTTTCACGAATTGACGCACACCCAACCACAAGGGGACTTTAATAACTTTCTCTGGGTAAAGAGAAGTTTCACTCCCCCTCACACAGAAACAGATAGACACAATGATAGACACACAAAACTCATACACTTGACTTCAGACATTCAATCGCAGACACCCACACACACTGAGGTACACACACACACTGAGGTACACAGACACACTGAGGTACACACACACACTGAGGTACACACACACACTGAGGTACACAGACACAGGCAACACAAGAGAGTGATGTGATTTTTGGTGTTTCCGCAGATGGTGTTGGCGGCGGTGTGTGTGGTGGGTGTCGTGGCTCGGCCCAGAGTGCCAAGCAACTCCCCGCACCTCTACATCCCCACTTATTCATCTCAGCCCCACAAGCCAGGCCCCTTCCAGGCCCATGGTCCTTCAGAGAGCCCTACCTACGCCCCTGATTCGCGTATTCCCGACGGAGACCATCATAGAAGGACCCCGAGCACCCCGACTTTCATCCCCATCGTGAAGGACATGAGGTTCACGCCTGGCAGGGGCGTACACAACCTGGACGTGGAGACCGGGAACGGTATCAGGATGGTGCAGCAGGTGGCCCCCAGCCAGCTGACAAGTGGCTCTGTCTCCAAGGGCGGCTACATGTGAGTCAATAATGTTATTATGTTAAGGAGAGACGGTTACCAGGTAAGGCGGGCTTGACTTGAGGCAGGTGGCGGCGGGAGAGAGTGCTGCGACTGCTGCTGCTGTGGATTGTGGTTCTGTGTATGTTTTCGTAATTATGTGGCTGGGCTGTGTTTTATTTATCAAGAGCTTGCGTGTTTGTTCGTGCGGTGTGGTGTGTGTTTGAACGTTGATGTATACTGAGCGTGAAGTGAAGGCTGAGGAAGAACACAGAGAGATGCGTCTCCGCAGGCGTCCTCTGTTGTGTCAGCTGGTGAGGCATCGTAGAGCCTGGTTTTGGGGACAGTACGAAGCAAGAACAGCAAGTCACTGCTGTTGATGAAAGACACAACAGGGAATTTTCCCTTTATGAATAACTTTCATTTTCAAATTAAGTGCGGCTGACCTCGGTAAGGAGCGGCCATTGTGTTCAGGTTGTGAGTTTAAGTTATCACACAATTTTTTATAAATGCTTGGAAGGGTAACAATTCCACCTTAGTCTCGCGCTCCATTGTATCAAACATGAAAAGTTTCTCTGAGTGTACACAGAATACTTACTGCGCTGGACGGTATAAATGAATATTTAATAATTTTATAAACAATTTTCTTAACCACAATACTCACTAGAGTGGCTGTAACCTCGCCCTCTACCCTTCCCAGCTTCACACACCCAGACGGCACGGTGCACGAGGTGACCTATGTGGCTGACGAGAACGGCTACCGCCCCTCCTCGGACCTGCTGCCCGTCGCCCCAGTCAACCCGCATCCCATCCCTCCCCACGCCCTGAAGCAGATAGAGAAGGCGAAGCTGGAAGACGAGCTGAGGGCGCGGGAAGCTGAAGCTGGTGGTGAGTACGAGGGGAGGGAAGGGGAGGTCCCTCTCCAGCAGCTTCGACGTCCTCATCCCCAGCAGGAGCCATACCAGGTGAGGCTCAACAACAATCGCAGCAACTAGACCCACACCTGCTAACTGTACCGATTGTGATTATTGTCAACACTCGTAACACTAAACGATCACTGGGAGCTACACTGACCAAAACACAAGTAAATAATATATAATTATAATCAAAGTGATCACTGATGACTAAATCTATTGAACAAAATTTAACATTATGACTGCCAACATGTGTCCTCCAACAGTGACGAATAATTATTTCACATCATGGTGAGGTGACTGTAATAGGCACAGGTATGATCCTCACATTACATACACATTGTAGGTTATGTATCTAAGCTACTGTGCCGAGTAGCAACCTTGTATATAAGCTACTGTGCCGAGTAGCACCTATGTATATAATTACGTGGCAACACTGCACGTGTTATGTGGCAATGTTGCCACATAACACGTGCAGCACAGTAGCTTAGATACAAGGTTGCTACTCGGCACAGTAGCTTAGATACATAACCTACACACATTATAGTGGTAGAAGCTGCAAGTGTCCTGATCTTGTGTGTGTGTGTGTTCGTGATTTCTGACTACAGTTTTGGACAGTGAACTAAAACTTAACCTAGAGATTTGCAGGCACCCGAGAAGTGTCCTGAAGGTGAAACTCCCTCATAAAACACGTCTAAAATGGAAAGGGGTGACCCCCCCCCCCCACCTTAAACCAATAATGTATATGAGTAATAATCCCGTGTTTACAGGTTGCAGAGATATGTGTGTGTGTGTGTGTGTGTGTGTGTGTGTCGGTATTGGAGGCGAGTCAACAAGGTTGTTGCCAAGCATGAGTCAGCGATTGTGAGGGAGTTGTGTCTGGTTGTCGGTCAGGTAGAGAAGACCCTATGATGCGTCATAACTGTATCTTAGTCACACATGAAGAGTTTAGCAGCCTGGCGAGCAGTGGCTTATCCCTCACGTTTATACACTCCACTAGCCTTGTATATCCTGCATTCATCTTTGTAGTTTATTGTGTTCAGATGAGACGTAATGATGGTGATCTTACTCTCTAGTGTTAGGAACCGTATACTTGTATTTAATGTTGAGACTTGGTCAATGATTTAGAAGAAAAAAAAGTGAAGAATATATTAGATTAGGTCAAGAAGAGTACAACTTGTTCGTGGTAAAAGTAAGATAATATTGAGAATGAGTAACGGCGCCATGAGTGCTCAATATCTCAACTGGTGGAACAGGAAGGGAGGTAAAAGTAAGAGTGATCGACAGAGGCGCAAGTTTGTTTGAGAGTAATGAAAGGAGGAACAAAATGGAGATGAGTCAGCTGGTGTTTACACTAAGACTCGGCTCTGGTGGATGATTCTGAAAGGAAAGTGAATGTGTTAATGGTAAAGGTCGCAGGGGAGGAGAACGTTAATAACTGAGAATGTGAACAACAGTAAATGAGAGAGAGAGAGAGAGAGAGAGAGAGAATGATGATGCAGGAAGCTAACCAGTTAAAAAAAAATATGTTGGTAAGGATGAGATAACGATATTATCCAGGTTCATTTACCTTGGCCACTGGATACAGAAGGAGGAAGACATGGTGTGATCGAGGTGTAGTTTGTGACGGTAAATATGATGTAAATAAATGAATGATGGATATAAAAAGAAAACATTGTCAAAGAGAAAGTAATAAAGGAAAGAAAAACGAACAGGTTTGGCCAAGGTGAAAGGAAGTATTGGGAGAAAGAGAAAGGAAAGAGTGAAAAAAAAGGTATTTAGAATTGAATGCCAGGAGAGTCAGGCAATGATCGAGAAGAGGTGAAAGAATGAGGTGAAGAAGGAAGTACTGGATGGGAGAGAGAAATGGACAAGCCAGAAAGCAACGGTGTGTTAGGAAGTGGATACCTTAAGGGGAATAATAATATACTCCTGATCCTGAACACTATGTATGTATATCAGGAAAAACAAAACAAAAGCTTAAGATATTGAAAACAAAACAAAAGAACATCACAGACATCAATGATAAATTAGTTATTTGAGCATACAATTTATATTTGATTATTTGTAATAGATATCAAATCAAAATAAAATTACTTTATCAGGAAATGATGGATTATAACACACCATGTACAGACAACCTCAAAAGGTATCGAGAAACATTGAACGAAAAACAACCCAACCCAACCCAACCCAACCCAACCCAGCCAAACCCAACCCAACCCAGCCAAACCCAACCCAACCCAGCCAAACCCAACCCAACCCAGCCAAACCCAAACTCCAACCCAGCCAAACCCAACCCAACCCAGCCAAACCTAACCCAACCCAACCCAGCCAAACCCAACCCAACCCAGCCAAACCCAACCCAACCCAGCCAAACCAACCCAACCCAGCAGCAAACCCAACCCAACTCCAGCAAACCCAACCCAACCCAGCTAAACCCAACCAACCCAGCCAAACCCAACCCAACCCAGCCAAACCCAACCCAACCCAGCCAAACCCAACCCAACCCAGCCAAACCCAACCAACTCAGCCAAACCCAACCCAACCCAGCCAAACCCAACCCAACCCAGCCAAACCCAACCCAACCCAGCCAAACCCAAACCCAACCCCAAACCCAACCCAACCCAGCCAAACCCAACCCAACCCAGCCAAACCCAACCCAACCTGCCAAACCCAACCCAACCCAGCCAAACCCAACCCAACCCAGCCAAACCCAACCCAACCCAGCCCAGCCAGACCCAACCCAACCCAGCCAAACCCAACCCAACCCAGCCAAACCCAACCCAACCCAGCTAAACCCAACCCAACCCAGCCCAACCCAACCCAACCCAACCCAGCCAAACCCAACCCAACCCAGCCAAACCCAACCCAACCCAGCCAAACCCAACCCAACCCAGCCCAACCTAACCCAACCCAACCCAGCCAAACCTATAAATGTGCTGGAAGGTATGGCTCATATTCAATTCCATCAGACTTTTGAGTATCGATACTTTTTGCAGTGGTTGTACTGTACATGTCTTGTTAGTGATGCATTAACTACTAATGAGTAATATGGTGCTGACCTCCCCATCCCTCTCAGGACCAGTTCGACGGTCAGGCCTCCCAGTACAATGAACAAATCTCCCAGTACAACCGGTATTCCACTCCGTATAAGGAACCGATTCTCCAATACAAGGAGAAGACATCCCAGTACGAGGAAGGACCGTCCCAGTACAACGAAGATACGTCACGGTACAACGAACATCCATTCCAGTATAATGAAATGCCTTCCCAGTATACCGAACAGCCCTCCCAGTATAACGAACAACCTTCCCAGTACAATGAACAGCCTTCCCATATTAACAAAAAACTCTCCCAGTATAACGAACAGCCTTTCCATTACAATGAACAGCCTTCCCAGTATAATGAACCCTCCCAGTATAATGAACAGCCCTCCCAGTATAAAGAAAAGGCCTCACATTTTAGCGAACAACCTTCCCAGTTTAACGAACAACCCTCCCAGTTTAACGAACAGCCCTCCCAGTTTAAAGAACAACCCTCCCAGTTTAACGAACAGCCCTCCCAGTATAAAGAAAAGGACTCACATTTTAGCGAACAACCTTCCCAGTTTAACGAACAACCCTCCCAGTTTAACGAACAACCCTCCCAGTTTAACGAACAACCCTTTCAGTATAACGAAGACATCCCCCATTATGATGAACAAACAGCCCCATATAAAGAAGAGTTCGTTGAGTACGATGAGCCAGAACACGAGTACGAGAGGCAGCCTTCCCAGTACGCACCGGTTCACTACGACTCTGACCCGTATGAACAAGAGCTAGAGGCGACCTTGTTTTACCCTGTAGTGGCCAACCAGGAGCCATACTATGCCCAGGCTGAGGTCCGGGACGAGCCAGTCTACCCGCTGGAACAAACCACCCAGGAGGCAATCTACCTGCCGGTGGAAGACGGTGAGGTGCCGGTGTACATCCCTGTCCATCTCCGGGAAGAGTTGGAATTCGTTGTCCCAGACCAAGAGGATCAGGAGGAACCTTTGGGCCAGGATAAAGAGTCGCTGGAAGATCAAGATGGACTTGAAGAAGGACACGAAGAGGAGGAGGAGGCCTTTGAAACTGTTGACGATTCGCCCGTTCCATTATACAGTGAGGCTGTTTTCCTGAGGGAGAGCGTAAGGGACGCTCCTCCTACCCTCAGTGAGACTCAATACAAGCGGGTCCAAGCCAGGGGCCCTGCTCGTGGACAAGTTCAGTCCGACGAGGAAGCTGAAGACAGCTTAGTGCGGGGGCAGCAAAAGTTTGATTATGGCAAAATTGAAATCAAAGATGAACCAACACACGAACACGTCCAAACTCAAGAGGAACCCGATTATGAACAAATCCAAAATCAAGAAAAGTTTAATTATGATCCAGCCAAAGAGGAGCCAAAACACGATCGAATTCAGGGCTATGAAAACCCTGAATACAGACAAGTTGAAAACATTGAGAAACCCACATACAGCCAGCTCCAGTCACACGCAAAGTCAGAACAAGTCCAAACCCAGACAGAACAGGAATATGATAACGCTCCAGTCCGGACCCAAAAACAACCGGAATACAGCCAAGTCAGGGTTGGTCAGGAACCCCAACAAGACCAGAATGGTGAAATCACAAATGATCAAGTTCAAGTCCACGAGGAACTTGCATATACCCAAGTTCAACCAAATAATGAACCACAACATGCTGCTGAAGTCCAACAGGAGTCCGAGTCACAGCAAGTCCAAGTCCATGTCACAGCAGAACACGAACACAACACATTAACCTCCCAAGAGGAACCACAACCTGAACCTGAACCACAACCTGAACCGGAATTTTTGCTTGAACCCAAGTCTGTGCCTGAACCACATACTGAACCTGAACCACATACTGAACATGAACCACATACTGAACATGAACCACATACTGAACATGAACCACATACTGAACCTGAAACACATACTGAACATGAACCACATACTGAACATGAACCACATACTGAACCAGAAACACATACTGAACCTGAAACACATACTGAACCTGAACCACATACTGAACATGAACCACATACTGAACATGAACCACATACTGAACATGAACCACATACTGAACCTGAACCACATACTGAACATGAACCACATACTGAACATGAACCACATACTGAACATGAACCATATACTGAACCAGAACCACATACTGAACCTGAACCACATACTGAACCAGAACCACATACTGAACCTGAACCACATACTGAACCTGAACCACAGTTTGTTGAACCTGAACCACAGTTTTTGTTTGAACCAAAGTCTGCGTTTGAACCACATACTGAACATGAACCACATACTGAACATGAACCACATACTGAACATGAATCACATACTGAACATGAACCACATACTGAACATGAACCACATACTGAACATGAACCACATACTGAACATGAACCACAGCCTGCGTCTGAACTCTTCTCCACTGATGAACTAAAGTCTGGCAGACAGGAGACAAAGGAGTACGGCGTCCCCCACCAGGCGACCTCTGTCTTCACCGTCGCCACGCCTTCAGACCAGTGAGGAGCGTCCTCTCAACACCTCACCACCTACCCCTCCTGTCCACGATATATACATTGCCTCCAACAGGCATACGATACGAAAACGTCTCATATATAACGTAAAAGGTTCTGGCAGTCCTGTGTGTAGCTCAGAGTTCTAGAGTCTCCCTCGTGGTAGACACAACTCGCAAGATGAGACATAGAGAACTCCTTCACCCAGAGAATGAGTTGCTTATAGAACGTTTGTGATAACTATCGATATCTTTTTTCTCTTGGCCACAAAGGACAGTCCCGCCCCCACCCCCCGGGTCCTGGGGCTGTGTGGCTCCACATCAGGTTCCTTCACTGTCAACACTTGATTGTGAATTTTGTCATGGCGCTGGTCGCTGCCTCTTCATCTCCACTAAGTTGTTATTGTTGTAATTGTTGTATGTTGCATAGCAAAAATGTATGTATTTACTGTGTAAATAGTTTGCTTATGTGTTTTTTATGTATTTAATGATTAATTTACAAATATTAAAGCCAAAATTGTCTTTCTTTTCATCCCATTGTGACGAATTTCGTACCACTGACACACTACACTTGTTCCCCACATTACATATATGACTGCCTCTCGAAACAATGTAAACAGCAGCAGTGAGATCACAACACAATACACCTTATGCTCGAGGAATTCTATTTCAGTCTCTGAATCGACAGCCTCCTCCATACACAACTCAGGACGCTACTGGACGACGACCGAGGACAGATTCTGACGCACTTATGACGTATGATATGAAACACACTACACTGTATAAATTATTAAATAAACAAAGATAACCATTAAAATATCTCACGACAACACTGCCAGACCTATGAGAAGCCCACGAGAGAGAGAGAGAGAGAGAGAGAGAGAGAGAGAGAGAGAGAGAGAGAGAGAATAATACACCAAGAACTAACCTTAAGTTTATCACGATGCGCCGTTTTTATAAGCCTTGGGGGAAAATCAGGATTAAGTGTTGATAATCCAGTTGTTGTTGAACCTGGCGACCTCCGATGCATTCACCAGCCGCCAACCTGGATTATAAAAGATTCAAGCATTTATTTATTTATTTTTATTACCTCACTGGTGGGTAGGGAAGGAGGGTATAAAGATGGTGAAGTGAACAAGCTGTAGAAGAGAAATGATTATGCAGTGTGTTTTTTAACGTGTGTGAATACAAGTACCGGTCTGCCATCCTCACCCCGACTCACGGAGATGCCTTGACCACCTTCTTGCTTCACCTCTTTCTCATCTTCTTCCTCCCTCATTACCTCAGGTCTTCTTCCTTGTTTCTCCTCTCTCCCTGTTATTCATTCTTCCCTGCCTCCTCTTCTCCTCATCCATCCATTATTCTCCTTCATCCCTTCTTCTGTTCTCCCTCATTTCTTTTCTTTCTTCCTCTCCCCCTTCGGCGTGGGTTAGGTGTAGTTGGTGAGGTATGGGCGTGGGTGAGGTATGGGCGTGGGTTAGGTGTCGTGGGTGAGGTATGGGCGTGGGTTAGGTGTCGTGGGTGAGGTATGGGCGTGGGTTAGGTGTAGTGCGTAAGGTCATCACGGGTTAGGCGTCTCACCCACAATGTTGCAACTCAGGAAGAATCATAGAAGGAAGACCGAGAGGAGAAAGTGTATTGGCTTTGGGCGTCACCACCAACTCTCGGACAGACAGACAGACAGACAGACAGACAGACAGACATAATAACGTCTTAAATTTATAGAAGGTAATCGTAAAATTCACTTCACTAATACAGAAACGAGACACCAACACCTCCATCACCACTTTGGGTACAATGATTAAGAAAATATTGAAAAAAAACCTAACCTAACCTAACCTAACCTGACTTGACGAGAGGATGAGTGGGCGAAAAAGAGAGGGTGGGCAGGGTGGGCAGGGTGAGCAGGGTGGGCGGGGTGACAAATGATCTGATAAAATGAAAGGCGTCAACAGCTGATCTCTTGACTGGTGTGGCAGAGGTGTGGTGAATATATGGCACCGTGGTTGAAAGCAGGGAAAGCTCTAGGAAAAAGTCACATATCCATAACGGAATGACGTCATCAAGGGAAATGTCTGACATCACCGAAGAATTCGACACTAACCGCTAAATGACCCGTCAGTTAGGGCGATGAGTGTATTACCCTGAAAGAGAGTGAAATTTAACATCCACACTCGCGACAATGGTTGAAGATCATTGCGTAACTCTCCATTATGTTTTAAATAACTTAGTGTCTGCAAATAACTTAGTATCATCTCTGGAAATAACTGTCTGATCGAGTGTAATGATGTCTTGTGTGTTGTGTACCAGTCAGCCAAACAATCGTGGTCCCAGCGTGCAGACAGAGATAGATAAATAAAAAAATATGTAGACAGACTAACAGACAATGAGATAGACAGACAAACAGCAGAATTAATAGACAGAAAATAAACAGGAGCCGGAAAGACAGTGTGACGAGATTGGTTGGTGGTGTACAGGAAGCCAAACATGTTTACTTTTTTAGGAGGGAAAACAAAAGACATTCACCTGTTGCGCCAGTTGTCTTACGGAGGTGAGAGGAGGGGGGAGGTGAGGGGTGATATGGAGAAGATGGAGTGTGGAGAGAGGGGGAGTGAGGGGTGATATGGAGAAGATGGAGTGTGGAGAGGGAGGGAAGGGGGAGGTGAGGTGATATGGAGAAGATGGAGTGTGGAGGGGAGAGGAGGGGAGGTGAGGGGGATATGGGAGGAGTGAGGGTGATATGGAGAAGATGGAGTGTGGAGAGAGGGAGGAGGAGGGGGAGGTGAGGGTGATATGGAAGATGGAGTGTGGAGAGAGGGAGAGGAGGGGAGGTGAGGGGTGATATGGAGAAGATGGAGTGTGGAGAGAGGGAGAGGAGGGGGGAGGTGAGGGTGATATGGAGAAGATGGAGTGTGGAGAGAGGGAGAGGAGGGGGAGGTGAGGTGATATGGAGAAGATGGAGTGTGGAGAGGGGGAGAGGGGGGAGGTGAGGGGTGATAAGGAGAAGATGGAGTGTGGAGAGAGGGAGAGGAGGGAGGTGAGGGTGATATAAGGAGAAGATGGAGGTGGGAGAGGGAGAGAGAGAGGGGAGGTGAGGGTGATATGGAGAAGATGGAGTGTGGAGAGGGGGAGGGGAGGGGTGTGTTGGAAGGGGTGATATGGAGAAGGTGGAGTGTGGAGAGGGGTAGGGGAGGGGTGTGTTGGAAGGGGTGATATGGAGAGGGAGAATGGGTAGAGGGGGGGAGGGATCTAAGGGAACAGTAGACTTCACCCTCTTCCCACCCCCATCACACACGCTTGATATTTTTTCATTCTATTTTCTGTTTGTGTATGTGTGTGTGTGTGTGTGTGTCGTACATTCTCCTGCCCTCCTTTCACTCTTGCGGTTACTAGTTTTTCTTCTTGGTATTTTTAAGTTGTGTTGTCCACTCTGATAAGAACTCGTTGTTTTGTTGTGATTATTATTATTTATCTTCCTTGTTCTGACTTTTTTTTTCGCTCTCTTGTTTGTATCACTCTCTCTTCACTCTGCCTCTCGCACTCTCTCTTTCGCACTCTCTCTGTCACACTCTTCATCACACTCTGACACATCATGACAACATACCCATAGCTTGTGCCCCCGTGTGTAGCTCACAGTCTGGCCACTAGAGGGCTGGGAGGGGGGTCAAACGTAAACATATACAAAATCGTCATTCCTTACTAAATCTGCAACGAAATACTTGTAAAAAATAACCACACGGAAATGTAAGCGCCATGTTAAAAATTGTGGTGGTCATACACGAGGGGGGACATTTTTACCCCTAACCCCTGAACATCTACACGCATCAACACACACACACACACACACAAACATTGTATTTATGTTTATAGTGAGGCATTGTGGGGGAATATTGTTAAGATAATGTAAATAATCTTTGTGGAATTGAATGTCCTTTTAATCAAAGACGTAATAAAAATTAAAAGAAATTATGAAATGTAAAATCATTCTTTTTTGTTCTTGAAGTAACTGAGCACAGCGGAGACCATGGACTGAGGCCCGCGGAGGAAGCTGGTAGAGGAGCTCGGCCCGTCCTGGGTGTCACCGCAGGCCGGGGGGTCCTCCTTCAACTGACCCAGCTCCTGCTTCTCCTTCACCCTTACACGCAACACCTTTTCTTTTGACTCCTTTAACCTCTCCTCTTCTTTCTCTCGTGCCTCCTTCTCCTCGATCCTCCGCTTCTGCTCTCGCCACTTTTTCAACTCCCTTTCCTCTGACTCCTTGAGGCGCTTTTCCCGATTCTCCTTCTCCGCTTCTTTCCTTAAACTTGCCGCCAGATCCCGCTCCATGATCTCCCTCTCCAACTGGAACTCCTCGACAATTATCTCCGCCAGCCCTTTTAGGACATAGTAGTAATATGTACCCAGAACAACTTCAAATAAAACCATCCTTTTTTTCATATAATTAAGAACGAGAAATAAAACAAAACATAAAAAAATATTAGAGATTTTAGTTCAGTACGTGGGAGAACAATACGTCGACTATTGGAGGTAAGAGATGGAGTGTTGACTCGTGTTGGGTCAGTAGTGTTGTCTCGTGTTGGGTCAGTAGTGTTGTCTCGTGTTGGGTCAGTAGTGTTGTCTCGTGTTGGGTCAGTAGTGTTGTCTCGTGTTGGGTACAGTAGTGTAGTTCATGTGGGTAATATATGGATATGATGTCATTTAACTTTACTTATACAGAATAGCATAACGGAACAAGAGTCACTCAATAATTAAAATCAACACAACAAAAACCACTTACAATTACCTGAACCAGAGTTAAATAGCAAAGAAATTTAAAGAAATAAAGTTAACCATCCACTAAAAGGAATGGGGGCAGTTCATTCCCTATAATTCGGCTCTTGGACAAAGTTAACTACCAACGATAAACTAATTATACCACATTTCAATTAGGTTAGGTGAGGTTATGGTAGGTTAGGTTATGGTAGGTTAGGTTATGGTAGGTTAGGTTATGGTAGGTTAGGTTATGGTAGGTTAGGTTATGGTAGGTTAGGTTATGGTAGGTTAGGTTATGGTAGGTTAGGTTATGGTAGGTTAGGTTATGGTAGGTTAGGTTATGGTAGGTTAGGTTATGGTAGGTTAGGTTATGTTAGGTTAGGTTATGGTAGGTTAGGTTATGGTTGGTTAGGTTATGGTAGGTTAGGTTATGGTAGGTTAGGTTATGGTAGGTTAGATTCGATCAGGACCAACTTAAGATTCAGACATAACCTCGTCCAGATGCAAGGGGCTAGTATATTGGGCACCCAACTTAGGGATGTGGGTCAAATGAAAGGTCAAGTGGGTTATGGTGACCTTTGATGGTAACCCTACCTGGCCTCACCCCGACCCATGCTCACTCCTCCCTCACCCCTAGTACTGTGTTATCTCTCTCTCTCTCTCTCTCTCTCTCTCTCTCTCTCTCTCTCTCTCTCTCTCTACCTTTTCTTTCTCTGTCAGGTTAGGTTAGGTTAAATGAGGTTAGGTTAGGTTAGGTTA